GGGTGACTAGCCCTGAGATGCTTACCAGAGCCCATCTTAGCCGTCGTAAAACGACGTTACCATCCGACACTGCGAGGAAGTGAAGGGTTGGGTTTTGTCGGACAATTATATAGATATACGAGATAATAAAACGGATATAATATATCGAATGAATGATATTGAATGGAATACACAGCGAAATCGACGATTTTATATATTTAGTAGTCAGTTGAATGAATGAAATTTTAGTGACAGTTTTTTCTGATATTTAATTTTAGTTCTAGTATGTTTATTTATATTTTTGATATTTCTTCGTACTGTTTTCAGTCGACTTATATGTTTAAATGCTGGACGAGTGCTTCATAACAGGCAAGTTCTTATCAAATTTAATCTTCTTTTTTTTTTCTTATTTTCAGAATGTTTATACGGCTTATTCGATGTCCTATATCATTTTTTGATACAAATCCAGTTGGTATATAATTGATTTACTCTCTAATTGATAAAAATATGTATTCAGTCCTAGATAAAAGTATCTTTCATCCCATAATACAAAATCAAGACCTTAGTAAAACTCTGAAATTATTGCAATCTACAAAAATATCTAGTAGAATTCATTATGGTCTTATCCAACGAGTAGTAAACTATTACCAATAACTAGATGATTGTTAAATAATATATTTCATTCTTTAACTATGATAAATTTAAGTTAGGAAGATAGAAAGGTATAGAATTGAACATCATAAATTCTGATTTCTCTTCAATACTTATTTATAGGTCGAATATTGAATCGTTTTACAAGCGATGTTGCTACAATGGACGATTCTTTACCAATGACTGTATTTGAATTTCTTGCAGTAAATATTATTTGTTTATAACCTATTAAATATGATCTTGTTTTATTTAGTGTTTATCTCAAATTTTAGGTACAATTATTCTAGTTGGTTTAATCAATTTATGGTCATTCATTCCAGCAATTATTGCTTCAAGTGGCATGCTCTTTTTGAGATATCGATTTGCTTCATGTTCTCGTGATTTAAAACGACTTGTAGGAACTACACGAAGTCCTGTTTATTCACAATTAACATCAACTATTCATGGACTGAAAGTTATTCGATCATATCATGCTGAAAATATTTCTTCTAAACAATTTCATTCACATCTTGATAATAATACACGAGTTATCTATTTGATGGCAACCTTGAATAGATGGTCAGCGATGCGTTTTCATTGGATATCTCTAATATTCATTCCTTTAGTTATTACACTTGCTATAATTCTTCGTATGAGTCAACATCACTTTTCAACTTTAGAAACCGCACTCACATTTACCTATAGTATCAGTTTAATGGGCCTTTTTCAATGG